ATAAATCTGCAGTGTCCAGGAATTTTCAACGAGCTTGGATGGAGCAATATTCCTAGTACGAAATGAGTAGCATGGTCTACTTTCTGACGTTGAAAATTCGTTCTACGAGACAGCTGGTGCACGCTCCACCGCCTTGGCCCTCCGGATAAGGATTGAAATATTGAATCAGCCATAGGCAACCGGCTGAGGTGGAAATCCCTTTTAGATAATGTTTTGATCTTCAATAATTGACTTACCACCACCTTGCGCATCATGTTGTTGCCTCAGTCGAGAAAATCAATAATGTACACAGTTAGTAAAGTCTTTGCATCGGTCTCTCAAGACGTGCGTTCTCATGAATTCACATTGTGTCCACTGTACAATCCTACCAGCCTAACTAAGAAAAAGGAGTTCACACATTTTACACGATTGATTTAGTTAAAATATAGAAGAATTTGAAGTCGGTGGTTAGACCCATTAGTAACTGAGAGCCATTTTGAAAGTTAAATCATAATTTAAGTTTTAAATTAATATATGAAAAATTAATTTTTTTAAATATATTAAATTAATATAAAAAGGATATTCTTAAAATCATTCCTATACAAATTAATTTCAAAGTATGTAAAAATTTATTAAAAGAATTATAAATTAAAAAAAAAAAAGAGAGAGTAGAATTTGGACATTAATTGTTAATGCATTGGTTTTTTTTTTTTTATAAGGATAATAATTAGTAAGATAGAATTATTAGAGTTATTAACTGAAAAGTTGATTCTCAGATCAGATGAGTAGACCACCGACCTAAAAAAAGTGCGCAGTCATTAGGGTGTTTTGGTGGAGGTCAATGCATTGCATTGGTTAATTTCACCAATAAAATGTGATTTTTTGTAGAGTTGGCAGAAGATACTTTCTAAGTTCTGATCGCCGACACTGTTTTGTGGTTACTTGGAATTATCTTCTTAATCATTTGAGCTTTGATAGTGATGTTATTGTTATTATTATTACTTTTTTAGGTAATTGATAGTGATGTTGTTTGTAATTGTCTCAAACAAGAGCATACTCCTACATTACGGTCTACGGAGGATTAAAACTGGATAATACTTAACGTGGCAACCTAATTCCTTCGTAACCCGTCCAAATTACCATGAATTTCATTAATTTTTAAATTATATATATATGAGTGAGAATTTATTTATATATAAATTTTTTATATTATATTTAAGATAAAATTTTAATTATTTTTTATTTTTAATAATTAAATTTTATTTATATTTATTAAAAATAATCATTTTTATTTAAAAAATATAATAAATTTCAATTATTAAGAATTAAGATATAAATAAATTTTATGTAAATATATAAAATTTATATATGAATAAAATTTTCTTATATATATAGAATGATTAATTTCATATTATATGATTAAAATAAAATCAAAATTTTTGGTTCTGCAACAAAGTCAATGATTATGTTAAAAGGATTATATTTGATATAGTACAATGCACAGCTCATAGCTAAACATCAAATCTTAACAGTTACTTATTATTTGTTCTTATCTATATTAAGAGAATTGAACTTGATCTTGTGAGCCAATTGACTTATAATTAGTTTTAAAATTATAATTTTATTAA